GAACGAGAACACAGGTGGGGCAACCGGATTGTAATTAACGAAAATTGGAAAACCATATCGGAAATCGTTAATTTGCAAAATATCAATCCATCATATCGAACTGGACTGTTCCTGTTGCAAACAACATCAATCCATTGTCACTATTCATGCGTTTCATACAAATTCCATTGTGTTCTAACTCTTCCTTCCTTGATCTTCCCCCATCTTCTGTTGCCAGACATTACGTTGACACTCACGTCATATACTACTTGTAAGTAGCTCATACCACAGTATGATTTCAGCGACAATTTTCTGGCTACTTTGCTGCTGTTTATTTTCCTTCAGTATCTAATAGAAAGCTGTTAAGTGGACTGTCATTAAATTTATCAAACAAAAGATTCATATACACCTAATTTTGAGTTAAATCAAACGTGTGAATATTGTTGTTATATAACAGGCTTCTCAATTTAAAATTAGTAGAATGAGTTTCAAGTAGTTTCATAAGTTTTCGTCAAAGAAATTTTTTTCAGTATACAGTAATTCCCTTTTGTCATTGATAACAAGTTTTATGAATCAAACTATAACTAATTTTGAAACGTTAGGTCAAAAACTTCTTTGATTTCAAGAAACTCGATATGTTTGTCAGGTTAAAATGTTGGTGCGGACCTAAATTGTTAAGATAATAATTTAGCTACTTATAAGTAGTGTAAGCGTCTTTACGAAAAACACGTCCGGTATACAAACACCTCAGCAAACTTAGCCTTTACTCAGTAACGATAGTTTCAAAATATCTGAAATTTCAAACGATTCACAATAACCTCTAAATCACAAGTTTTATACTTCTTGGTGATGTTCTTCAAATATCTGTTGAAACATGATATCGCTGGACACAAGGAAGAGAATAAAATAACTAATGCCCGAAAGATTTATTTCACTATCCAAGTATGAAAACACAACTTTATTCATTCATAACATTTGTATATGGATTGGTTGTTCGTCTAAAAAGTTTCCACTTAATTGGTGCAAATAAGTTTTATACTGAACGAAATGTCATATCAAATTAATTCATCACCTGACGTTTGAACTTCTTTCTAACAAGATTAAATTTTCTAAATATGCCGGATGGATAAAACAAAATTCACTTTCAAGGTCACTCAATTAAATCATCAAAATTTTATACTAATTCGTCAGATAGAGAAAGTACTGGTGAAAATGCAAAAACTATTTAAAAATGGCAATGTATCTCAAGATGTACTTAATTTAATAACCACATTTCCCGACCGAAGCTGTTACATTGACGTGGTGGTCGGGTTTGACTATCGTGACGACCTAACCGAGCTATATTGGCTGGAATATATGTTCCTGAAGGTTCTACCGTGTCAGACAGGTCGATTGGAGGTAGGCCGTGCATGACTGGCCTCAAGCAGTTGTTCCTTGGGCACTGCGGTCACGCTTCCAGGTCTCTAAGACCGACGCTAATCTACCTTCTTTTTCAGGTCCCTCAAGAAACAACCTTTCACGGTGTGGGTACCCAGGAAGTGACAACCGCCCTCATACCAGTAACAGCAAGCGAGACCAAATCGGTCATAATCAAATCCTTTCTACACACCCTAATGAATAACTAGTTTGCATAAATCATCAATGAAATAATTCCACCGATTGTAGTCTAATCTCTGTCTACCGTGGTCCTAACCAGCATTTCTATCTCGAATGTTCAGTAATTTATTGTTAATTCTTCATCATTAGTTAACTCTGCCTGGAATCCTTCTATGGTTACTACCGGTTTCAATCCAGGATAAAGGAGGAGGGTTAGGCATAGGGTTAACTAGTCCACCTTGCAGAAATCCAACTCTCAATAAAAACCGCTAACCAGAAAACATGATTCTGCTGGTCAGCTACTTACGCTCCACTATGAGTTACAGGTGTAAGTAAATTAGTTAGCTATTATTACACGATTTAATGATTCTGTCTTTCGTATTCATTAGAATGTTTTTTTTACAGTAACAGTTTTTCATGACCCATCGTATTTCTAGAAAACTTCTCAATAGTTGATACTTCCAAAACAATTTATTAATTGGAAGAGATGTGCATCCTGGATCCACTTTGGTCTGTTATGTAAATTGAAAACAATTTCAATCATTTTTGAAACCATGAATCGATCAATGTTAGACCACCATTAGAAACCTGGAAGCACTGCAAGACGGCCGTTTCGTCCTGGCATGGGACTCCTCAGCAGTGTGCACCCACGACGGTTAGGCGTTCGCGCACAATACCGAATGTCCTGCGTTCGAATCTTGCGAGGCGCAGGAGTCGTGGTTTCAAAAATGTGCAACTTAACAATCTTCACAACCCCGTAATACAAATTTCAATCATCTCTTGAATAATGTAATATTTTTTATATTGTATTATAGACTTGCATTCTAATTAGTCATAAATATGATTGTACAATGGTTTGAATGATTTTTTCTGGGTAGCGTTTTTTCGGCAAGTTAGTTTCCTACGAGATGAGGTCGGTAATCCCATGCACAACCCTCCTCGCTTATCCGGGCTTGTAACCTGCGTTAAGCGTAAAAGGGCTCTAGGCGATCAGAGGTCTATATTCCATTAGGGGTAAGAGGCGTAAATGACATTGCCTAAGAGCAAATTTCCTTCGCCAAATTACACTCAATGGAATATTTTCCTCAGTCCTACTTTTATCTAGGTGGGATTGTAAGAAAAGCTACTTTCTGTTCCCAAAATGATATGTGACAGGTCTGAAGTTTCACGATATCTGTTTCGACTTCCAGATTGTTTTAATTCGAGTCATATATTATTGCTTTCTCTATTAAACGTAAGTCCATTGAACTCGTCTGTTGTCGTCAGCTCAGCTTTCCTCTTTCCCAGATCGCTCCACTCACGTCATTCTACATGCCTCCTCCTACTAGTACACAAATTATCTGCTGGTTAAACACGAACCGTTACATATATTCATACTCAACTGTCAAAATTATGCACCGAAAACCTTTGTTCATAATTTCACTATAAGCTATACAATCAAGCATTTAGCGTACTGAAACTAGTTCTTGATAATATACTGGTTATAAATTAAGGAGAAAGACAATTATTATACATGTCATTTTATGCGAATGTATGTTGACGATACTTTTATTTTGTTCAGTAGCATAGATAAATTATACAATCTACTTGAAACTTTTGCTACTACAGCTCATTTAAATATCTAGTTATTTATATATAAGAGAGAACATGCAAGGACTAGTAAATCTGTGCTCTTCTGGATCCAGATATCTTCGGAAGAAATGATAGAATTCGACAAAGGTACAATTGTCGAAACAAAACTTGGCAAAGATAAGGCTTGCACTTCACAACAATCATCCCGTAGGCGAAAATCATATTTCGATGAGATTGCTGTAAAGTTATCTTTAATAGAGGAACGCAAAGACAAGTCGATAAAAAAAGATGATATTTTTCGAAAAAGTTACGTTTAGTTATTAAGAAAAGTATAGTAGGCCTAATGCTAATAAAACTGAGAAAAAGAATGTATTCATTCTATCGATATTCAGGTGTGATCAAATTGCAAAGACCAACTATTTAAAGACAGGATCGAAAAGTACATTTCTCACTACAGAGTTACACCGAATATATTGCCCATAAATTAATCAACTGAATGTACCGATTTACAAGTGCATATAAAGGTAACTACATCGTAAGGAGTGAAATAAGATGTACATTGGTTTACTAATCATATTCCATAGGGCAAATGCCATCTCGATGAGTAGTCACACGACATTTCGCTTTTCTAAACCTCCAATTTGAACAGAATAATTGAATTGTACTGATTGCTTGGACCCTTCTGTCCATTGTTATAAACTGAGATTTATCAGTCTGTTTTGAATTAAAATTCATAGCGTTGCACAAGCCGGTGGTTATCTGGACTGTTATTAAATGGATAGAGAGATGAGCGTTCGGAGCGAAAGCTACTGGGTTCGGGTTCAGGTGAACACTAATACCACAGAATGAAGGTACATCCAGCTGACGAGTCCTGAATAGGACGGAACGTGAGTCCTGGATCCCAATGTTAGAACGGAATAAGTTAAGCTAAATGATCACAAGGCATTTTTATGGCTCTGATACGTAAAACCAAAACGTACGATATAACGTGTGCACAAAATTTGAAGTAAACTATACACGAAAATGACCTCGCATCGTTTGCATTAGCTGTGTAGTGTGATAAAGGAGTGTGAGAAGAGTTAGTCGTGGAGATAAGAGAGGTATTAGGGGGTGTAGGAAGGATTTGATTATGACCGATTTGGTCTCGCGTGCTGTTACGAGTATCAGGGCGGTTGTCAATTCCTGGCTAGCCACACCGTGAAAGGTTGTTTCTTGAGGAACCTGAACAATAAGGTAGATTAGTTTTGGTCTTAGAGACCTGAGAGCGTGACCGCAGAGTCCAAGGGACAACTGCTTCAGGCCGGTCACGCACGAGCTTTTGATGAAAAGTTTTTTGAGTATTAGCTCCGCTCTTCAAAACCCTTAGTGGGCACCCTTACCGACGGAGACGGAAATCTGTGAGGTAGGGTGAGGTGTGACATTTTTAGGGTCGACCTTTTCTAACCCTTACTTCCTTCCTTGTGAGAAGGCAGCATCGCCGCAAATGCTGGTTGTCCGAGGGAAACACCTTACTGCTGTCACACCCCTCCATCACGGTCAGCAGTACGTCTTCGCCCTCAGACCTTGACTGACTGCTTTTAGTTTCATCGTTCTGCAATCGACCTGTCTGGCATGGTAGAACCTTCAGGAACATATGTTCCAGCCAATACAGTTCGGCTGGGTCATCACGATAGTCAAGCCCGACCACCACGTCAAGGTAGCAGCTACGGTTGGGCGAAAATGACCTAGTAATTTCTGAATTGGGCTGAAGAAATTAAAGTTTGTTCTAGATTTATAGACAAGCTATTTCGATTTATTCTAACAACAGGTCATCTGATTAACTTTGAAAATTTAGCACACAAATGTTAACAAAAGAGGTTTATATTTGTAAATGAGATGATACAAGGTCAATGGAAAACAAAATAGCACATATTTACCAAATACACATTTTTTTTCTGTACAAACATATTATTATTATTATTATTATGTGATAACATTAAGAGAGTCTTGTTAAAATATGCATACGACAAGAACAAGAACAATCAGATTTTGTAGGGAATGACTCGGAAGGATACTTTGGGGTGACGAAACCACATGAATGCTTTTGACAGGAAGAGCAAGCAGTGGAACAACCACTTGTGGAAGAATTCTTAGCATCTGATGATAAAATATGATTAGAGTGAGCTGTTATATTACCAGTTCGACTAAGATCAATATTATTGCACCTGAAAACGAAGGGTATAAAAAGAAGATTTCTCATTATAGAAATGATTAAGTTTTATTGAAATTATGAATTAATTATTGTTAGAACACCATTCAGAACCTAGAAGCACTGGAGGTCAGTTTCGGCCTGGTATGGGGGTCTTCAGCAGTGTGCATCTACGACCAACACTCGCGGGGGTTGAACCTAGGACCTTGGGTCTCGTGCGCGAACTCTTAACCCCTAAACCACTGAGCCGGTATCCAACAGTGTTAATATCTAACTTTAATCAATCTAAAGTTTTGCCCAACCTCATCCATTTTCTTTGGTAGCAGTTTACTACCTACACCCAACAGGGTTGAACTCCATTGATCACGACTTCTTCCTCCGAGAATTTCCTCACTAAGCTAGTTACTGATAAGCACATTTTATGATTTTTCATCATAGACATTAGCGAGTTTCACTGATATTACGAATTTATCCCTGCTGATGAGTCCTATATATTAGGACGAAACGGTCGCCCAGTGCTTATAGGTTTCTAATAGCGTTCTAACAATGATCGACTGATTATTTCAATAAACAAGAATAGTTATTTAAGCTTATGTTTTTTAAAAATAAGAATATTTACTTGAGTAAAAATCAAAAGAAAATTGTATCTTGGGAGTCTCATCAGTGCCGATGGCCTGGTGACTGACGAAGTCTCAGCTCGGATAAAGAAGGCTCGGTTGGCTTTTGCCAACCTGCGTCACTTATGGCGTACGCGAGATATCCGTTTGCTGACTAAAGGACGAGTGTACTGTGCAGTGGTTCGCTCCGTCTTACTTTATGGCTGTGAAACATGGCCAGTGAGAGTAGAAGATATTCGTAGGTTACTGGTTTTCGATCATAGGTGTCTTCGAAGCATTGCTCGTATATGCTAGGACACCCGAGTGAGCAACGCTGTTATTAGGAATTGGGTGCTAGGTAAGAATGGCAGATCAATAGACGCAGTAATGACACTTCATCAGTTGAGGTGGTTGAGACATGTGTTGCGTATGCCTAACCACCGACTGCCTCGTCCAGCTTTGTTTTGTAGTGTAGGAGTAGGTTGGAAGAAAGCTACGGACGGTCAAACCAAAACATGGCAGAAATCCATGAAGTCAGTGACAAGTGGACTGAGTCATGTTGGTAGATGTAGGCTGCCTGGTTGGGGTTAGTGAGACGAAAGTCACCGATGGTTAGAGACCTTGAACGACATGGCTCAGAATTGTTCGCAATGGCGCCGGTGCATCTTGTCTATACAACTATGACAACACATAATTCTACAAGGCTGTTGTTATTAAGTATCTACAAACTAAAGAAATTCAGTCAGTTGCAACGTAGAACTTCGTACATAAGTACACCAGTTCATGTTACCATACCACATTAGCACAGAGATGCAATAGCCAACTCAAATCCCATAGTGGTAGAGATGGTAGAAGTACTACTGGTGTGATGTGAGCTACTTATAAGTAGTATATGACGTGAGTGTCAACGTAATGTCTGGCAGCAGAAGATGGGGAAAGATCAAGAAAGGAAGAGTTAGAAAACAGTGGAATTTGTATGAAACGCATGAGTAGTGACAATGGATTGATGTTTTGCAACAGGAACAGGCCAGTTCGATATGATGAACTGATATTTTGCAAATGAACGATTTACGATATGGTTTTCCGATTTTACTGAGTAACTGTGTAATTTTCGTTAAATACAATCCGGTTGCCCCACTTGTGTTCTCCTTCACTACACTGGTAATGGAGAAGATTACGGTTCTAAGATATTATTCAAGAAGTATAATTCAGTGAGATAACTAAACTAAAGAAATTACAAATGGATTAAACTTTAAAAGTTCAATGTGAAACGACTTCTCTCTTAGTTTTATCTTAAGCTACTCCCTCCTCAGAAACTAAAGTAAAACACCATGCTTAAGGAATAATATATTAATTGTTTAAGTTGATTCACTGAAAATAACCAATGGGTTTAAAATATTCAAATTAACATTGGAAATATATGTTACAATCTTGCAATTAGAGTTATGGAGATTATTGTTTATACACATGAGCACCCTTGGATGCCGGCCCAGTGGTTCAGAGGTTAGGCGTTCAGGCGTAAGACCGAAGGTCCCGGCTTCGAATCCTGCGAGGTGCAGGAGTTGTGGATGCGCACTGCCATTGATGAGTCCTATACCAGGACGAAACGGCCATCCAGTGCTTCTAGGCTTCTAATGGTGGTCTAGTAACAATGATTGATTGATTGATGATTTCAAATGTGTAAAAACAACTAGTCACTGTATTTTAAGAATATACTTACTTTGGAGTGGAACAATACTTATCTTGATGTAGTTTACAACTGCAAGAGCATGATGAATTTGAATGTGACGGATACATTAATGTAAAACCATTGTGATTAGTTTTTTCACAATGATGTGCTATTGATAAGCAACATGATTGATGTCCAGAAGAAGTAAAACCAGATGGTGTTGTATACTTTGAAACGTGACACTTTTGTTGAGAGATCACATCTTGGTTTAGTCTTAAATCAATTGGTGAATTGTATAAATCAGAAGGTAATGGAAATGTTTGTACAGTTTGTGTAGCTTTACAGGATGTCGCAGATGGAGAAAAGTTCTTTTCTTTTTTATTTAAATTGGAAGTTTTCGGTGAATTTTCAACGTCATGAAACTAAAATAGGAGTAAGAATGAAAGATAAATGGAACTGTTTGAATGAATTTATAGAAAAATTTGACTTCGATAAGTGTAATTTAGTACTCAATCAATCAATCAATCAATCAATCAATAGCAACGTAGAACTTCGTACGTACGTACGTACATCAGTTCATGTTGCCATACCACATTAGCATAGAGACGTAATTGTTAATTGAAATCTCATAGTAGTAGAGGTAGTGAAAGTATTAGCAGTAATCGGAGAGATTAGGGTTAGATATTATTCAAGAACTCGAATCAAGTGAGATAAACTTAAAAAGAAAGAGGATGACAAATTAAAAAGTTTGAGATTTGAGAGACCCTTCAGGGATACTGCCGGTTCCAAGACCGGATAAAGGAGGAGGGTTGAGATGTGAGTTGGCGAAACCCATCCCATAAAAAACTAGCTTGCCAAAAAACCTAACAATAAAAAATAATTCAAACCATATAAACTCTGCTCTAGGAGTAGAAAGGTTTTAATTTAGAAGAATTATGACATATCATGATAAAAGCTGAGTTCCTAAGGAAATCATGAGTCCGATGCCCCTTCTGACAAGCAGAACCATTGCGCGGTGTGGGTAGCCCGGAAGTTACATCCGCTCTCATACCCATAAAAGCATACGAGACCAAATTGGTAATTTAGTACTAACGTATATTGAATAAAATCCCACAGTACCGACTAGTTGTATATACGACCAGTCTGTCACAACTTAGGATAAAAAATAAGTTCTGTGTTCTGCCAGCATAAGACAGACTTAAAGAAAACTGTTTAACAACTTGTATTTCGCAGGATTGAAATAGTTAACATGAGATTTCATGGTATAAACCGAATGATTAATTGAAACTCGGTAGTCCAGTTAATAACCTTTTCTACACATTTGAAATCATTAATCAATCATCATTGTTAGACCACCATTAGAAACCTGGAAGCACTGGACGGCCGTTTCGTCCTAGTATGGGACTCCTCAGTGGATGCGCACTGCTGAGGAGTCCCATACTAGGACGAAACGGCCGTCCAGTGCTTCCAGGTTTCTAATGGTGGTCTAACAATGATGATTGATTAATGATTTCAAATGTGTAAAAACGCAAACCTCCAAAACTGTGCCCCAAAATAACCTTTTCGTCTGATTTATGCTACGTTAAAACTAGAAGTAATAATTTTTTTAACATTTGAAGGCTGTTTGTTAAGATAAAAGTTATTATTCTACCATTAATTGTTTTAAAAATTAAACAGTGTTTCCTTATTGTCTTAGAAGTCGACTACCCTAAGCAACAATGCAAGTATGTTCGGGATGCGGTTTTCCTCCTCGAAATGCAAAATGTTGCTTCAAGATTGGGTTTCATCGGCACCTGAACTAGTGATAGGTAGTAAAGTAGTCGAACGTGTAGACCGCTTCACTTATCTTGGGAGTCTCATCAGTGCCGATGGCCTGGTGACTGACGACATCTCAGCACGGATACAGAAGGCTCGATTGACTTTTGCCAACCTGCGTCACTTATGGCGTACGCGAGATATCCGTTTGCTGACTAAAGGACGAGTGTACTGTGCAGTGGTTCGCTCCGTCTTACTTTATGGCTGTGAAACATGGCCAGTGAGAGTAGAAGATATTCGTAGGTTACTGGTTTTCGATCATAGGTGTCTTCGAAGCATTGCTCGTATATGCTAGGACACCCGAGTGAGCAACGCTGTTATTAGGAATTGGGTGCTAGGTAAGAATGGCAGGTCAATAGACGCAGTAATGACACTTCATCAGTTGAGGTGGTTGGGGCACGTGTTGCGTATGCCCAACCACCGACTGCCTCGTCCAGCTTTGTTTTGTAGTGTAGGAATAGGTTGGAAGAAGGTTAGGGGCGGCCAAACCAAAACATGGCACAAATCCATGAAGTCATTGACGAGTGGACTTAGCCATGTCGGTAGTTGTCGACTACCTGGTTGGGATCCGCGAGATGATAATAATCGATGGTTAGAGACCTTGAATGACATGGCTCAAAATCGTTCGCAATGGCGCCGGTGCATTTATTCTTTGTGTTCTCTCAAATCCTAATCTTCTGGATCCTTCAACACCTCTAGTTTTGACTTTCTAAACTCTTCTCATTTAATCATACTTCTTGAATAATATCTTCTAATCCTAACCTCTCCGATTACTTTTAATACCTTTACTACCTCTTCTACTATTGGATTTGAATTGACAATTACATCTCTGTGCTGATGTGGTATGGCAACATGAAGTGATGTACTTACGTACGAAGTTCTACGTTGCATCTGACTGACTGACTGACTAGAATTCGACTAACGTTGTAAGTATAATGTACTTTTAAATGTTAACCTATTTAAAATTTGGCATACTAAGCACATGAAATCACATTTTCAGACCACAATATTTAAATTTATTTAAAAGTAAAAGTAAATATTATTTACAAAGGTAAATCAACTAACATATTTATTTAACAAACTTAGTAAACGAGTTATTTTTTTCAAGAGCTTAGTTCTCCACGAGTCGAAAGAAGCAGTGTTCTAACCTTCCCACATTTTACTCAAGTCACAATCTAAAGCCACAAGATTTACAATATGTACGAACACATAAAGGTTCGAAAACAACTCTTGAAAACTTACAGAATCATCATATATTTTGCGTTCAAATCGAATAGCATTAAGTAAGTTAGTGAGCATACTATCTATACCAAGAAGCAAATCTCTTCGTGTATCATTGGACATCGCTGTTAAGTTTCGGTAAACTCCATAAACAAGCAATCTAAAAAAGGGGTAATACATGATTCAGCTTTTCAATTATATATATATATATATATATATATATATATATATATATATATATATATATATATATATATATATATATATATATATATGCTTTAAGATAAAACAGAGAAACTTCAAACTCAATCATAAATACCTAGCTAAATAATAACTGAGCAATTACAATACCACTCTGTACGAGGACTAATGATAGTATCGAGCAAGCCAAATAACGTTATGTATGTTGCTTTGGGTCCCCAACTACAGATAAATAGAAAATCAATTTAAGAGATGAGTCAGGCATAATAATAATAAATGATTTTGTAGATGTCCCGATTGTAATGTAAAAAGGTGATATGAACTAATGCTCAATGAAGCATTAGTTAAGACAACTTTCTTTGCTAATTTATAAAATTAAACAGTCTTCATTATTTTAGAAGTAATCTATTGTTTAAAACATATATACAACTAGGGACAAGATCTAATTTATTGATTACGATTGAGAGCAAGTAATCAGGAACAATAAGCTAGTTCTGTAAATCTTCATGATACACATATCTGGTCATAATGAAAACTACTCTAAGATGGATTAAATTCTCTAATCAAATAAGCTAATATACTAATAGTTTTCAAGTAGAAATTTGTTATAGGTTTACAGTCTTGGATAGGTAGGCACATATTTGGTAGCTATCCTATCAGGATTTATATTACTGATTCGATCTGAACATTCATACACTTAACTATACTTTATTTCATTTATAACTATGTACTGGAAGTAAAAAGTGATTATATATCAGACATAAACTATACATAAAACATCTAATCGGTTGTATTCCCAAGTGCACCAAAAATGGAAATAAGGGGAAAGAATGCACCAAGAAGAAGTCGATTTTTGTATGTCAGGGGGAAATAGTGTGACACTTTTCATTTCTGTGTTGAAAATATTAATAAATTGTCCAATTTTCACCTAAATACGTCCAAATTTACGTACTGGAAGAATAATTATCCTTCTAGCACAAATTGTGACAGCACTACAACTGCAGAGATAACAATCTCGACACATGAAATATCTTTTATCAAAGTAAAGAAATGACTCATATGAATCATGAGTGAATATGTACACAGTCAGATTGTAAGGAACATGAGATTTAGTAAATACATAATTGGAGAAACTTGTCACGACGAAAAGTAAATTTTAACTAAAAAAAGTTGTAAACTTTTGGGTGTTGAGGCTTTGGACAGAAAATGATACTGAAGCCACTTTGGGTGCACCAGGACATCACTTAAAAGGTCTGTTATACAAACGCATGCAGCTTACTCAACAAGCGATCGGAGCTAGATGTACAGAGAGACTCAATTAAGCCAAACGTTAATGTTGTCACAGAAACTTAGCTTATCAACTCTGTAAACAGTAAATAACTTAATTTTAAAGTTTTTACATTATGTCGATCCGACAGAACCCAAAAGTGTAGAGAAGGGAGAATAGCCGCATTTATTACAAATAAAATCAATTTTGTTGTTATTGACAACATGTTCGATTACAGTGGGGTGTGCAGATTGCTCAGTTATCGCTTGAAGTGCGAAGGACGAGAGCTGCTGATTGGCTTCATCTGTCGCAACCAAAACTGTGAGTTGGATTAGATGTTGTTAGTAAATTCCAGCACTTGGTGTTCAAATGGTCAACGTCCAATCCCAGGGGACTTTACTGTATATTCGGTAGACTGGGAAAATCTAAGGACTGAATTTTGGAAAATTCTTTTGAAAATAAACTAGATGATGCGGTTATGACAAGTACCTTGGTGCAACATGTGAGAGAAGCATTTAGGTACGATCTGGACTTCGAATCATCCTTATTAGATCTCATAATGACCGATTATGGAGATGACGTATGAAACTTTGATTATATGACACCCCAAGGTAAGTGACCATACAGTTTTAGACCTTGGTTTCTGTATCATTATCAACAACAATGTTAACTAAAGCTAAATCAAACGTTTGGAAAGCCAACACACAAAGGTTTATACAATCAGCATCCTCAGTAGATTGGATAATTGAGCCGGAATCCCTCATCAAAACAGCTTAGGGGGTATTCAGACATTTATACACAAAATTTCCTGCATCGCAAATCGTTTGGACTACACTAAAGAATTTAAGAACTTCCTCATGGCAGCTTTTAAAGGAGATCTGCACTGTTATTTGTGAGGGGGAAGTTTTGGACACTCGGTATGAGACAAAATCTCAATATCGAGAAGCCTGAAATATTTGTGCCTACACCTTGTGTAAGTCTAAAAGATTGTATGAAGAGGTAGTTAGGAAGTCCATAGAATAGCCAGAACGCTTAGATTCGTACAGAAACCATAGGGCCAAGAGAATAGACAGAGGTATCACATCGTTGGTGGAAGACGATTATGGCAAAGCTCAAGTATTATCGAACTGATTCAGAGATTTATATACTACAAAGGTGTCTCTCCTTCTGGTTCGTATAAACTGCTTCATACACACTCTGGAAATTAAAGAACTCGATGTCCTTAATCTGTTGAGTAAGCTTGATTTAGGTAGACCTATAGGACTCGATGAAATGCATCTTAGATTACTCAAAGAACTAGCAAATTTCATCGCTAATCCTTGAAGCATATGTTTTAATATGTCTGGAAATCAAAGTAGATTAATAAAATACTGGGAGAGTACCATAGTAGGTCCTGTTTTTAAAACAGGTACGAGACAATCTCGAGAACTATCAATTTGTAGGCCTAATTAGCGTGGTTGGAGAAAAATTAGAAAAGATGATTTTTAAGGAGCTACCTGAGCATCAGGACGAGAACGGGAACGTTTTTTAGAAGCAGCGCAGCTTTAAAACAGGCTACGTATGTCGCACAAACTAAATAATAGCCTGTATAAGTTGGTGCTTTCTCAATGATCGAAGGCTACCCGTAGATGTAGTTTAAAGTGACTTTAGAAAAGCTATTGACAGAGTACCTCACAATCGGCTTTTATCGAAGTTAGGTGATATAGGGATTGAAGACAACTTATTCATGTGGGTAAAAAGATCTCGTTGGGTGTTAAAAATGAGTACAGTATCCAGTCGAGAAGCTGTACTTAGTGGGGTGCCATAGGGTAGCTTTTGGGCCAGTGTTGTTCCTTCCGTATGTAAATAACTTTCCTAGTCACTCATCTTTATTGCTTTCGTTATATGTTGACGGTATCAAGACATTGAGAGCGATAAAAAAGGTGGAGACAGTTCAAGGCTTTAAAAATTGCCTAAATAGTCTAGCAGTTGCTGATAAATGTCTCAAGTGCATCATGATGCATATTGATCACCGAGGTAAAAATACATACACGGTGAATAGCATCGAGATACCTGTTGTCCGGATACAATGAACTAGGAATTATTACTAGCTGAGACACGAAAACTATTGTACACCACCGTGAGATAGCTGTCATAGGTTTAAGAACCCTATGGTAAACACATGGAGCCTTTAACCATGTCGATGCTAAACTTTGGTATCGTACACAAGCATCCAGCTCCTGCCTAAAAATCACATTGAGCTGTTGGGAAAGGTTGAAAAAAGCGTAACTAAGCTACTCCTGAAAACTGCGAAGCTGACATTTGACGGGAGACTAGCCAAATTAAACCTATTCCCATAACCATATAAGGAACCAGAGGTAAATTAATTACACCTAAATCATTTGATGATAAATTTCCACCTGACACTAATTTTCCTGGTCTTCCAAAACAGAATTTACGACCACACTAAAAAATTTCACAAGCTTAGAACAAATTACTGGCCAAATGACTATTGAAATCCCCATAGAATTGGTATTGAATAAGACTCGTTACCTCAACATGTGACTAAAGCTTCATATATCGTAACAGTCGAGAGTTGGATCAACTGAGGTACCAACATTCGAAGGACTAACAGATCATACAGGCTCTTGTTCTCTCCATACCAAAACCGTAGGCCGAACCATCAAACACTGAACAGACGACCCCCATTTGAAACGAAAATGCCTAGGAATTTCTTCCATGAATATCTTAGTCGACTGTCCTTTGTAAAAAAAACAATTTAATTTCCTAGGAACTGAAATAGCTGGAATTTTTTAAATTGCATGATAATTAGAGTTAATTATACTACGAAATACATTAAATGGGATTATTTCTGGTTGTGAATCAGGTTTTTGGATAAGAATTGCATATGTAAATGATAATAAAAATAAAAGACTCCCACATATTATTATAACAATCAAGACAAACTTGAGGCCAGTTCGTGTTCCAATATTTCACCACTAGCTACTATGAACCAATCGGCTTCTTTGCGTTCGATTTTTGTTATTTCAGCACAGTTCCAATTATTTAGTAATGTCCAATAAATGGCAGTTAAGCACCCAACGAAGGCTTCAAGAAACCCGCCTTTACAATCTATTTCTCATTACCAGTTAGAATAACATATCCAATATCCAATATCTTTTTTACACGATAGTATCAATCGATTAATTTCTTCAGACTTGATTCTTGTTCTTTAGTTACGGTTCCTGGTATTTTGTGGTATCCAATGATGGCAGTCCGGCCACTCCAGCTCACCAGTTCAAGTGGTAGGGCAGTTATTTATGAAAATGAACATCTCGTGGTTTCAGTGAGTACATTTGTTTCAATGTACTCAAGTATCTGGATATTAGCACTCATTACATTAACAGGCAGAATATCAGTTAAATACGATGTGAAGAAAGGTAGCCAGAAAAATTTATTGATGGTGAGATTTCAGAATAAAGAAAATAAATAAACAAATAAATAAGTGACCTAACTGAAAGAAAAGATTGTGCGAGATGACAAAGGTGTTAGCGAAAAAGAGAAAATAGAGATAATCTGAGGGATAGAATACGTTTGTAATTTGAGAAAATGACGAAAATGACAACGAGCAAGTTTCGAGACATACATCAACCGCGGCTGGTCCGAATGAGAGGTGATAATGTGAGAACGAGCTTTTCGAGTCTTCTCATGAAGTTTTCCATTGAGAGGACCTTGTTCATCTTAGCCGGGGAAGAATTCAGAGTCAACAAAACTTTCAAATAAGTTTTTCGAAAGAAGTTGGATAGTCCTATGCGAACCGAGTATCAGGTATTGCGCTTGCGTAGTGTATTCAGTCGTTGAGACCATGATTTTCGTGTCTTGTGCCGTGGGTTGTAAATTTAGGTCGAGTCGAATTAGTGTGTGCTTATTTTGGTCCCACAGACCTAGATCGGCTTTCGCACTATGAAATGTGGCTAGAGAAATCGTTCTTCAAGCTGTACCAAGCCTGAAGCTCCTCAGTCAGGTTTTCCTGATTTTTGAAATCCAGATCTATCAAACGTGATCTAATGGTCGTGAGGTTTGATGGGCAAGGTAGCTGGGAAATGCAAATTGCTATGGTGTGAAGGCCTGGGTTACGTGATAGCCGTCGGCACTATTGCACGTCATGTGGGTGAGTTTCGATCAAGCTACCTCTAACCAGTTCGGACACGCCGTGAATTTCTATACTGGTCAGCAACTGAGTGCATCTTAATGTCCTGGATGCCACATTTACTGACCATGTTTTGTCGTGCCTGATTCAGATCGAGGAGGACAAATTAACTGAGGGCCTACGGTATGTGAGGAGGATCTCTTCGGCTACTTATGTCGAGTCAAATGTCTCTCTCAATAGAGGGGATTTCTCTTTAGCGACATTCCGACTCTTGAATAGTTCAATATATTTTCAAAAGTTAGTAGCAACCGATTGATTTATTTGAGCCAGCTTCTCGTAGTTTGTGTGAATTCAAGTATCTGATAACGTCTAACGGGTGTGGCAATCCAACTACACGACTTCAGTAATTCTAGTGGTTTGGTGGCGCTTTATGAGTCATTACGTCCGGTGATTTCAGTAAGTGTGTCTGCCTCAATAAAGTACAGGAAGTTATTCCAATCCAAGATCAAAAATTAATTTGCAATGTGTAAGATAACGAAAAGAAAGTTCGTATGGCACTGAAAAGGACAGGATATCAGAATGAAAAGAATGAATGAAAGTATGTTAATCATTTAGTAGCGAACTACGTGTGAGATGATGGAACTTTAATCCGAAGAGATAATAAGAGAGATGGGATGGTTTTGTATTCTGAGTATATGACAAATAGCAAGTTTCGAGACCTACATACTCTTATTGAGAATAAGTGAGTCCGAACCTGGATGTTCGCTCCTGATATGTAATGTTTTGGGGGCCACCTCTAGGTGCATGCTGGTGATGTTTTGACAAAGTGCTTATGTTTGGGTGAATCGGCATAATTAGTATGCTGTAGACCACCACCAGGTCACCTCCCAGCCAGAACAATTCCAAGTGTTGGTGTCCATCTTCGTAAGGTTTGTTCTTTAACCCCATTATCCATTTAGTTGTTGGTGTCTGCACTAGATCCAGGAGATTTGTGTCCCTTCTAAGCAGAGAGGGTGCGAAAACATTGTAAACTTCAAGGCGTGGTCGTGCGTATGTGCTGAATATAGTGGAGGACAACTATGTGGTGATTACAGCATGTTGTGTTCGTATAAATTGGGATGTGTTAGCCTTGGCTTCATCACCTGGGTAGTCTGGAATAGTGCTCAGGCTATCGTGGCTATTAGACCAAGAACGCGCTTTGGAGAGTTATCAGGGGGCGGACTTTCAAGAGGGTCTGACTGTGGCGTAGAACACATTAAGCAGGCTAAATCATCCCAACTCGAGTATCTTCCCAAAGCACCACCACCACACCTCGATTCGGGGTAATCCTAGGAAAATTGCTCATGAAAAAGCGAATATCTAGGTTCATGTACGTGTTTTCTACTTAAGAGTTGTTGCTACTTGGAATGCTCTCCAAATCGAGGTGACCAGTGCCCCTTCAGTGGAGAGCTTTAAGAAGAGACTTGATAAATACGAACCAACATACAGACTATCATCTCCATTTGAACTGGCCGTGCCTGATGCATGACTTGAAATTTGCTGGTTTTTATATTCGTCGTTTTCTCAGATCACTAATCTGAATTTTCTCCCTTATTGTGTCTGTTGTCCCTCCCTCGCGTACACTTCGGTCAACTCACACAATATTCACTACCGAGTTATTCATCCATTCATTTAATTAGTTCTGAAATCTTCTTTTTAGCTTCAGAATTTTCTCCTTATTATTCTCCATATTGCAACGACAGCCTGGTAATGTGATAGCTGCTGGTATTCAGAAACCCGACAGCCATGAATCAAAAGTACTCATTTAAATAACGGGACATACAATCTAACAGTCGAATGGCTAGACCACTATCCGTTGGACACTATAAAATATCTGAATCAGTACCAAAAAAACAAGAATCGAGCCCTAGATAATCGATTAGTTTATTGTGGCTCGTCAAGGAGATATTGGAAATTGAAACATCGCGCGTTGTCGTGACAATATGAAACGCGCCTTTTTTACTTCTCCTGAAAATAATTATTTCACTGATCTCATTCTTTAGGATACTTCCTCATCTACCTGGTTAAGTTTTTTCCTGCTTATTTTAGTTCCATATTCATCTTCTGGTTCTCTCAACTGTGACACCCATCTGTCGACACTAATTACATGCAAATTGTTACCAAATTCAGTGTTAAGGAACAAAACCCAAAATTCTGCTCCAGTTCCATTAAAAATTAATTTTTACAGGAATAACATCTGAAAATGATGCTTTCGCGCTCTAAACCTGCTCTTCAGAAACAAAAAATTGCCCCAGTACAGTCTAAAAAGATTCCGAATTTAACAGAATTTATTGACAAACGGGATTTTACCGGTGCACTAACTGTTTCAGAGTTTGAGCGTTGCTGTGGCAATTCAAATGTTGAGACAGATTTATGGGTCGCATACTCAGCTTTTCACTTGGGAGATTATAAAAAAGCCGCAGAAGAATACAGAAAACTTCTTGAAAAACCTAATGCGCCTCCAGAAGTTCACACTTATCTCGCATGTTGTTACTTTTTCCTCGGAATGTACCAGGAAGCATCGAAATGCGCTAAAGACGGCCCAAAATCCAAATTACAAAGTAGGCTTTTGTTCCATATAGCTAACAAATTTAATGACGAGCGTGCTCTTCTAAGTCATCATAATGCTCTAGACAACTCAATAGAAGACAAACTATCTCTAGCTTCAGTTCAGAGCCTAAAAAACCACCACCAGGAAGCCATTGACATATACAAACATGTCCTGCAGGATAACCGGGAGTATTTGGCATTACATGTAAACATAGCTTTATGTTACTATAAGATGGATTATTACGACTTATCTCAAGAAGTATTAGGAATATACCAACAGCGTTATCCGGATAGTGCAACGGCTATCAATCTGAAAGCGTGCATCAATTTTAGATCGTATAATGGAAAGGCAGCTGAAGCAGAACTAAAAGCTCTTCAACGTGTTTCTACTTCATCTTTTACATATGCACAAGACCTCATTAAGCACAACTTAGTCGTGTTCCGAAACGGAGAAGGAGCTTTGCAGGTAGCACTTCAGTTTGGTATTGAAATTCAATGTCATAAAGTTTTTATAATGGGCTTATTTTACAGACATGTAAATTTGCATGTCTGACTAACAAAAGAATTCTTACCAAAATACATTAGATAACTGACAAGTACAAAGTCATTTATTGCAGGAGTGTTGTCACTATTATTACTTTATACGTTAGCATCCTATTGTTATCTTATTGGTAACCATTAACTAAGTTCCTGATATACATTTCCTCAGTTTGATTTATTTGAATTCACTGAACTTGTATAGGTTTTAATTCTTTATGAAATCCCAGGTTGTGATACAAATTTAAAGCATGATCGCAGTGGATAGTACATATGGACGTCTTTAATTTACAAGAAGGCGCATTTAATGGAAGAAACAACTCTCGGTAGTGTGTTCCTTCTCCTTAAGCAAGTCCTAGTAACAGATTCTAGCACTAACTGAAGTTTCTGTCCGTCACCTAACAAGAAGTTTAGGCGTATACACATCAAAGGCTTGTTAAGTTTGTTCGATTATTTCTACTTCAGCAAAATATTCTTTTATGGTAGGACTGCTGCCTATACTTTTGAAAGGTTAGGGAGTTAGGTCCAGGTGAGGCAAATATGCTAACATAAAAGCTTATAGTTATTACATATTCATGGCTGTAACTGGAAAATAGTTTGTTGGTGTAATTCAAGAGATAACCTAGTGATGAGGTTTTATTTCTTACTGGCGGCATCACAAAGTGCATTTACAAGGTACTACATAAAACTAATCTTGTTTATTATTTTTCTCATCTGTGTTAAGTTTAAAGACAGACAGACAGACAGATGCAACGTAGAACTTTGTACATAAGTACATCAGTTCATGTTGCCATACCACATCAGCACAGAGAGGTAATCGTCAATTCAAATCCAATAGTAGAAGAGGTAGTAAGGGAATTAGAAATAATCGGAGAGGTTAGGATTAGAAGATACTACTCAAGAAATATGATTCAGTGAGAAAAGTTTAGGAAGTCAAAACTAGAGGGGTTGAAGAATCCAGAAGATTAGCATTTGAGAGAACACAGAGAATAAATGCACTGGCGCCATTGCGAACGATTTTGAGCCATGTCTGTCATTCAAGGTCTCTAACCATCGATTATTATCATCTCGCGGACCCCAACCAGGTAGTCGACAATTACCGACATGGCTCAGTCCACTTGTCAGTGACTTCATGGATTTCTGCCATGTTTTGGTTTGGCCGCCCCTAACTTTCTTCCAACCTATTCCCACACTACAAAACAAGGCTCGACGAGGCAGCCGGTGGTTCGGCATACGCAACACATGTCCCAACCACCTCGACCGATGAAGCTTCAATACTTCATCGATTGATCTGCCATTCTTACCTAGCACCCGATTCCTAATAACAGCGTTGCTCACTCGGGTGTCCCACGATATACGAGCAATGCTTCGAAGACATCGATGATCGAAAACCAGTAACCTACGAGTATCTTCTACTCTTACTGGCCATGTTTCACAGGCATAAAGTAAGACGGAGCGAACTACTGCGCAGTACACTCGTCCTTTAGTCAGCAAACGGATATCTCGCCTACGCCATAAGTGACGCAGGTTGGCAAAAGCCAATCGAGCCTTCTGTATCCGAGCTGAGATTTCGTCAGTCACCAGGCCATCGGCACTGATGAGACTCCCAAGATAAGTGAATCGGTCTACACGTTCGACCACTTCACTCCTTATCACTAGTTCAGGTGCCGATGCAACCCAATCTTGAAGCAACATTTTGCATTTCGAGGGGGAAAACCGCATCCCGAACATGCTTGCATTGTTGCTTAGGGTAGTCAGAAGACTCTGCATTTTGTCAGCGTCTTCACCAAGTAGGACAATGTCATCGGCATATTCTAAGTCAATCAGCGAGCCACCTGGAAGAAGGTCTAGTCCTGAAAATTCAGACGAGGATAAGGTTATTTCTAAGAGCATGTCTATGATAAAATTAAACAAGAATGGAGAAAGTGGACATCCCTGACGGACACCACTTGATGTAGAGAATTCCGGTGACAGTTCGCCATAAGCCCTCACCCGACCAGTGGTGTTCGAGTAGAGAGCTTGTATGAGGTTAATGTACTTATTTGGTACACCTTTCAATGACAGACACTGCCACAGAACCTTACGATCAACAGAGTCAAATGCCGCCTTAAGGTCCAGGAAAACAACTATTGTAGGACGCGTAAATGTGTGTCTATGTTCCAGGACCTGTCTGAGTGTGAAGACGTGGTCTATACAACCACGTCCAGGTCGAAAACCAGCCTGGTTTTCTCGAGTCTGCTCTTCACGAGCTTTCGTTAAGCGTCGAAGTATTATTGAGGCCAATATTTTGGATACTATATTAGTTAGACTTATTCCTCTGTGATTGTCACAAGAAGACTTTTGTCCTTTCTTATAGATTGGGACAATCAAGGATTGAGACCAGTCGGATGGGATTACGTCCAGTTCCCAGATTCTACCTAAGATCTCAGTCAACCTAGCTGCTAAAACTGGACCACCATCCTTAAATATCTCAGGGGTCAGTCTATCAGGACCTGCAGCTCGTCCTCGTTTCAGATTTCCTAAAGCTTTCTCAACGTCATCAAGACTAGGGGGACTTACGTCGATTTGCCATTCAGGATGACTGGAGATCGTGGGTAACCGAAGAGTGGCTCGTGGCCAGTTGAACTGATCCCTAAAGTGTTCTGCCCATCGATCCAGTCTCCTGGATTGAGAATGGATAATAAGACCATCCTTTTCCGAGATAGTCTCGCTCACATTCGGGTTCTTAATACCAGTTTCTTTAATAAGGCGGAAAAGTTGTCTACTGTTGCCTATCGCCGCTGCCTTTTCCATCGCTTTTGCTTTCGCCACCCACCACTGTTCGCGGTCGTTACGCAGACTTTTTATAAGTCTGCGCCTAAGCTGACTACGCTCTTCATCATGCTCAGAGTCAGGTGGGATGCGTTTTCGAGCATCCATCAGTTCGGTGGATGCGACTGGAATCCACGGCTTCATCCTAGCATTGTGGTTTACCTTGCTAGCAGATACTATTGCTGTTTCCACAGCCTTTTTGATATCATACCAACCTGTTAAGTTTAAAAGTTGAAATCGACTCATTGCTATTTAATTTAAGCTGTTTAAATACAGTAATGTGATATTTTCTGTCATATATAAATCGATTATTTTATTGGATACCAGTTACACAGTTTATATAACTAAGATAATCGGTTATCTCATCAAATTTCCCTGTATTAATTGATACAATAAATATACTGTATACATGTCTTTTAGGTGCTACCCCCATTGTTAGACGTCCTGCCAGAAGCAAGGCTTAATCTCATCATTTTCCATTTGAAAAATGACGAATTACAAGAAGCATATGAACTTAGTAAAGAAATTGATCCAAGTACACCACAAGAATATGTATTAAAAGGAGTTGTGAATACTATTCTTGGTCAAGAGCATGGATCACGAGAGCATTTAAAGCAGGCTCAACAATACTTCCAGCTGGTAGGAGGATCAGCCAGCGAATGTGATACAATATCCGGTCGTCAGTGTATGTCTTCTTGCTTCTTCCTTCTTCGGCAGTTTGATGATGTTCTTACATACTTAAACTCAATAAAAAGCTACTTTTATAATGACGACATATTTAATTTCAACTATGCTCAAGCCAAAGCAGCTGTAGGAGCGTACAAGGAAGCACAAGAAGTATTCCTATTCATTCAATCAGAACATATTCGTTCAGAATATACCTATTTAAGTTGGTTAGCACGCTGTTACATAATGACTAAACAAGCTCGTTTAGCATGGGAATTATATCGAAAAATGGAAACTTCTGCTGAATCTTTTAGTCTACTACAGTTAATAGCTAATGATTGTTATAAAATGGCACAATTTTATTATGCTGCTAAAGCATTTGATGTGCTAGAGAGGTTAGATCAAAATCCAGAATATTGGGAAGGTAAACGTGGTGCATGTGTCGGTGTTTTTCAACTTATAATCGATGGACAAGAACCTAAAGAAAGACTTCGAGAAATAATTCAAATATTACGCAATACAAATAATCCTCAAACAGAATATCTTATAAGTGTTATGAAGAAATGGGCAAAAGAAAACAAGATTGTTGTATAATGATGATGATAATAAAGTGTTGTGCATGATTTATATGCTTATGTGTTAATTATAAACCGACTCAAGAGAACCTTTACAAAGTAGAGAGATTTTTATTAAGGGGAGCTATTATTTGTATTGATTTGGGGCTTGAGCAGTTTTTCAATTATTATAAATATGTAGTCAGTCATTTTATCAAATAATGGAACGTATAGTTTTAGATGACGCAGCCACTTAGTCTGCTTACTCAAACATCTGCAAACAAGTGTCACTTTTCTTTACAGGCATGTTGTTTCACTACTGAGTTATTTATTTAGGATATAAAAGACTGTCCAGGAATATGATTAACATATTGAATTTAAAACGTTTTAGATTTGTCATATAAAAAAATACAGTCATTAAATAGTGAAAATTAACAGTTTTTTAACTTTAAAAGCTGTGACCTGTTTGTTCCTTCAAGTAGGACGACTTACGTACGCATAATAATCTCAGGTTGAGGAAAATTATAAACTCGAATATGAATAAGAATATTAAAGTGGAAATTCATAGATTATTACACAATTAGCAAAAATAATTCATGCATTCACAGGAGTCACTGAAATCATGGGATGAATTTCTGATTGAATCAAAAACAAAGTAAGTAATAGAGACAATGATAAGTTCGTCACTTAGTATGCTTGAGGCTATTACGAGTTTACCTTAGTCGATAAACTCGAACGAGACTTTTACCAGCTTCCAGGGAGGCTACCTTGAATACCCAAAATCGAAATAGAAGGCTTTGTAAGCGTAGAAAGTATATTCTACAAACACTCAGCAATCACAGTACCATCAAGCATACAACTCTCGTTTATTTATACAACATAAGAACGTCCTTGAGACAGTTAAGAAAATAGCATACTAAAATACACAGCAGCCAATGACAGCCATGGATTTTCCTGGTGGGGATTGAAATCTCAAGGTCATCTGATCAGCCCATGCTGGCAAAACGGGAAAACCAAAATACGGCATTATCAAGCGAATTTTGGGGATGTAACATCCCCAACAGACAACTTCTCATAAATAATGAATTTCAGAATTCAGTGTTTTTAAATAGGTAGGTAGGTAATATGAATAAATCTGATCTTGACGAGGAATTAGTAGGACTGACCCATTTCATATTCAGTGTACTGGTTACATCTTTTATATTTAAGTTCATTAAAAAAAGTCAAATGTGTAGTAGATTCAGTCAGTCAGTTGCAATGTAGAATTTCGTACGTATATACATAAGTTCATGTTGCCATACCACATTATTAACACAAAGACGCAAATGTCAAATCAAATCCCATAGTGATAAACATAGTAGAGGTATTAATGCTAATGAAGAAGACTAGGGTTTGAAGATATTATTCAAGACGTATAATTCAGTGAGATAAGGTCAGAAAGACAAAGGTAGATTAGCTGACGAATCCAGAAGATTAGGATTTGAGAGAGCTCAACGAATGGATACACTTGCACCATTGCAAACGATTTCGAGTCATATCCTTCAAGGTCTCTAACCATTGATGACTTTCGTCTCGTGGACCCCAACTAGGTAGCCTACATCTACTAACATGACTCAGTCCACTTGTCAGTGACTTCATGGATTTCTGCAGTGTAGTAGGTTACAATTAGTGTATCGCACAAACAAGCATTACTTACCAATTCTCAATCTCTAGTTTATGTATAACGTAGCGGTAAGAAGTTAACATAAATAGAAAGGAATTAGGATTGTTTGAAATATAAAAAAATGAGTGAAAAGTGACTGACCCAGTAGTAGTGTGGTGCGAGCTACTTATAAGTAGTATATGACGTGAGTGTCAACGTAATGTCTGGCAGCAAAAGATGGGGGAAGATCAAGAAAGGAAGAGTTAGAACACAATGGAATTTGTATGAAACGCATGAATAGTAGTGACAATGGATTGATGTTGTTTGCAACAGGAACAGTCCAGTTCGATATGATGAACTGATATTTTGCAAATTAACGATTTACTATTTGGTTTTCCGATTTTACTGAGTAACTCTGTGATTTTCGTTAAATACAATCCGGTTGCCCCACCTGTGTTCTCCTTCACTACAGTAGTAGTAGTAGTTCAGAGAAAACAATAATTATAATCAGCGACACAAAACCAATGAATAACTTAAATTCAAAAGATCAATCTGACATATTTAATTTACTATACACATCTTTATATAGAGATATATACATATATATACATATATGTGAACAATATTACTGTTTTCGATTAGATCAACATCAGACTTTATACTCTAATATACATGAATATTTACATGAAAATGTGAAACCAATCAAGTCAATGTATGAGTCAATAATCACAATGAAATGAAATAGAGATTACGTCACTCACTACACATCATAAGGAAAAGTACAAGTTGATAATAGGAAGACAGGTGTGTACTGTACTGATATAGTAGTAAGTAAGAAAATTATAAAATACGATAACAAAAGTTTCTGTCAATAGTAGTAGGTCAAACGTGAATATAAATAGACTTAAAATCATAATCATTACAAAACATTAAAACCATTACGTAATAAGAGGTGAGTACATAATTATGGATAGTGAAGAGTATACATTAAAAAAAAAAATCATGAAAAAAAAAATAACAAGATAGAATTTTTAGTTTATTTTTTTCAAATGTAATTTAGCTAATTCATCAATTCTATGGAGATCCTTCAAAGAATACTGTGCACTACCACGAGGAAGTGGTTGACTCTATAAGTAAAGAAATATAAAAAGTGGTGTAATTATTAATTGGACAAATTTTTTGTTTCGTTCACTAATTAGAAAAGCAAACACTTTCAATTCTTATCCATGAAGCAACTCCGCCTGTACAGCTTCCGGGGCTACTTCCAGTCCTAAAAAGCCCGGATAAAGGAGGAGGATTGGCGACCCCATCCCACGAATGCTAACCAGAAGCGATAATTCAAACCATTTAAACTCTGCTCTGAGGAATTAGAAGGTCTTCATTTAGAAGAGTTATGACATCTCATGATGAAAGCCGAATTCCATTGGAAGTCAAGAGGCCGATGCCCCTTTTGACAACCAGAACTCTTCCACGATGTGGGCAGTCAGGAAGTAACATCCGCCATCATACCCATAAAAGCACACAAGATCAAATCAGTCAGAATCAAATCCTTCCTACATTTTCTAATAACCCTCTCATCCATGAAGCAAAAAGTTGAAAAACAGTTAAAAGTAGTCAAATCAAAATACAAAATGATAACAAGGGTTATTAAGAAAAAAATTTGTTTTAAACAGAATGAGATGTAGGCATTTTGTGATCCTCTAAACACTATCCGTCATCTAGAATTTTTTTTTAGTTTCGCAGAATACATCAGTTTATTTTGAGAGCTAAATACGAAGTATCTTATCACTACTGTGAGTGTATAACTTCCCTCTAAATAAACAAATGCAGAGTCTTCTGACTACCATAAGCAACAATGCAAGCATGTTCGAGATGCGGTTCTCAACCTCGAAATGGAAAATGTTGCTTCAAGATTGGGTTGCATCGGCACCTGAACTAGTGATAGGGAGTGAAGTAGTCGAACGTGTAGCCGCTTCACTTATCTTGGGAGTCTCATCAGTGCCGATGGCCTGGTGACTGACGAAATCTCAGCACGGATACAGAAGGCTCGATTGGCTGTTGCCAACCTGCGTCACTTATGGCGTACGCGAGATATCCGTTTGCTGACTAAAGGACGAGTGTACTGTGCAGTGGTTCGCTTCGTCTTACTTTATGGCTGTGAAACATGGCCAGTCGGAGTAGAAGATATTCGTAGGTTACTGGTTTTCGATCATAGGTGTCTTCGAAGCATTGCTCGTATATCCTGGGACACCCGAGTGAGCAACGCTGTTATTAGGAATCGGGTGCTAGGTAAGAATGGCAGATCAATAGACGCAGTAGTGACACTTCATCAGTTGAGGTGGTTGGGACATGTGTTGCGTATGCCCAACCACTGACTGCCTCGACGAGCTTTGTTTTGTAGTGTAGGAGTAGGTTGAAAGTTAGGGGCGGCCAAACCAAAACGTGGCAGAAATACATGAAGTCATTGAATAGTGGACTGAGCCATGTCGGTAATTGTTGATTACCTGGTTGGGGTCCGCGAGATGATAATAATCGATGGTTAGAGACCTTGAATGACATGACTCAAAATCGTTTGCAGTGGCGCCGGTGCATTTATTCTTTGTGTTCTCTCAAATCCTAATCTTCTGGATTCTTCAACACCTCTAGTTTTGACTTTTTAAACTTTTCTCACTGAATCACACTTCTTGAATAATATCTCCTCATCCTAACCTCTCCAATTACTTCTAATACCCTTACTAACTCTTCTATTATTGGATTTGAATTGACAATTACATCTCTGTGCTGATGTGGTGTGGCGACATGAACTGATGTACTTACGTACGAAGTTCTACGTTGCAACTGACTGACTGAAATAAACAATACTGCCTCAGGACTAGTTTAAGTTAGTCAGTTATAATCCAAATACACACTTACGCACACAGAGAATATCAAATGAGTCGAAACAATTGACTCACTGAAGTGAAGCATTGGCGTTTAGTTATCACATCGTTTTAGCCTCCAATCAATGGGATACAAGTCCGAACTTCGCTTCACTTATTGCGGTATGGGCAGTTAGGTAGTAGTGTGGTGCCGTGGTGCGAACTACTTATAAGTAGTATATAACGTGAGTGTCAACGTAAAGTCTGGTAGCATAATACGGGGGGAAGATCAAGAAAGAAAGAGTTAGAAAACAATGGAATTTGTATCAAACGCATGAATAGTGACAATGGATTGATGTTTGGCAACAGAAACAGTCCAGTTCCATAGGATGAACTGATCTTTTGCAAATGAACGATTTACGATATGGTTTTCCGATTTTACTGAGTAACTCTGTAATTTTCGTTAAATACAATTCGGTTGCCTCCACCTGTGTTCTCATTCACTACAGTAGTACTATAAACTCTCACGAAAAAAAATGTGACTAAAAGACGACTATAAACGCTAGCATTTCATTGCTAAGTTGGATTGAATCAAATTTCATTTGAAAATTTGAGGTACCATTGCTTCAACGCATAACTCATTATATATTAACAATCAGTAGGCATTTGAAGTGCCGAATAATTATAATCATAAAAATACATTTCTTGGCATTCGACTAGGATATAGTATAGTAGTTTAGAACAAACACTTCAGTTAATTAACAATGATTAATTTACTTGAGAAGGATCTGGTTTCCATCCAATAAAAAATAATAGTCGATAAGTTGCTGGAATACAACGTTCGCTTTCTTTATCTTCACGAGGAACACTGAATTTCTCTATAAAAGGAGTTAGATAGAAGTACTAATGTATAAATACATATCTATTGAAGTTTATAATTGTTATTATTTAAGCATGTGAAAGTAGGTACAATGAGGCACCTAAAAATATATTTATACGCCACAAATCAATCAATTTGTGAGTGGGCTTAGATACTACCGGGATGCTCGGACCGAGGTAGGTGGTTTTATTATGGAATCAGTCCTCAAACTTTTGACCTACAGGTTTTATCCGTAGGGTGATGGGGCAACGCTAGGAGATGCAGTTCTGTGGTAACTGGTGACCAACAACAGGTCTATACACCTTTTGTTCTCTCAGGATTCTGAAGCCCATGTGCACCATAGGTTTGGAATCTGGGTGCCGAGTAGAGTTATACAAAACTCTATAAAAATAGAGAGGTATTCCGATTCGTGGGCAATTTTTTATTCCGAATATACTATTGTCTACTTAATTCTTGAAATTTTATGGAGATAAATTCACAGAACAAAAATTCACCAATAATTGTAGCTAAAATCTTTATATTGGGTCAGTGTATTACGGTAGACAGTTTAGTGACTACTGCTATTTACAGAACTGTATTCAATTAGTGTTAGTTGACACATAAACTAATTGAATAGACACTTAAATATTGCTGACATTTACAAATTGATCATACTTTAAATACTGGGGTAAATATTTCCGTTGTCGATTCCCTTTATAAGGTTGGCAAAAGCCAACCTGCATCACCTATGATGCAGGTGAGATATCCGCTCGCTAACCAAAGGACGAGTGTACTGTGCAGCAGTTCGCTCCGTCCTATTATACGGATGCGAAACATGGCTGTTAAGAGTAGAGGACTTTCGTAGGTTACTAGTCTTCGATCATCGATGTTTCCGAAGCATTGCTCGTGTATCCTGGGACAACCGTATAAGCAATGCTGTCGTTAGGAAACGAGTTCTAGGTAGGGATGGCAAATCAATAGATGAAGTTGTGAAACTTCATCAGTTAATGTGGTTTGGACATGTGTTACGTATGGCTAACCACCGACTGCCGCGACGAACTATGTTTTGTGGTGTAGGAGTAGGTTGGAAGAAAGCTAGGGGCGGCCAAACCAAAACATGGCACAAATCCATGAAGTCACTGTCTGTCTCAGAATCGTTTGTGATGGCGCAAATGCATCCATTCTTTGTGTTCTATGAAATTCTAACCATCTGAATTCCTCATAATATCTACCTTCCTCCTTCTAAATTTATCTTACTGAATTAATCTTCTCGAATCATATCTTCGCTTCCTAATCTTGTCCATTATTGCTAATACTTCTACTATCACTATCACTCTTGGATTTGAACTGACAGTTGCGTCTCTGTGCTGATGTGGTATGGAAACCTGAACTGATGTACTTACATACGAAGTTCTGCGTTGTATCTGTCTGTCTGTCTGTCTGTCCTTTTATAAGATAAAATCTGGATCTTGAATTCCTCTACTAATTATAATTGAAAATAAAATTCATAATAAATAACTCTTATACAAGAGATATCTCTAAATTCACAAGAAATCTATGATCAAATTATATACAGTTTACAATTTAAACAAAAACTAACTCTATTATATCTTATCAATGTTAATTATGAGCGGTGAATATTTCATTTGAACAATACCATACAATACAATTAAACCATCAATCATAATAATAATAATAATAATAATACGATTATTATTATTATTTACCATTGTAAATTGCAGACGCGGCAAGTAGGACATCACGATTCAAACGTAATGGACGATGTATAGTAGCATTAGATTCACCCATAAATCGTAAATCATTCATTAATGCAAATATATCTGGATAATGAATGACCATTTCATCAATATCCTAGAAGAAAAAAAAATAACAGATTAAGGATGTGTCAAACAAATGAAAAGTAGAATCCCATTAGTAGAGTTAAGTTAGTCATAGTTTCGAACTCTGTTTCATCTAATTCAATTTCGGCAGTCAGCTTACTTACTTACTTACGCCTGTTACCCCCAATGGAGCATAGGCCGCCCACCAGCAGCATTCTCTAACCAACTCTGTCCTGGGCTTCCCTCTCCAATTCAGTCCAGTGTTTGTTCATTCCTCTCATATCTTTCTCTATTTCTCGGAGTAGTGTGTTCTTTGGCCTTCCTCTTTTCCTTTCGCCTTGAGGGTTCCAAGTGAGGGCTTGTCTTGTGACGCAGTTAGGTGCTTTTCGTAGTGTGTGTCCTATCCACTTCCACTGCTTATTCCTGATTTCCTCCTCCACTGGAATCTGGTTTGTTCTCTCCCACAGTAAGTTGTTGATAATGGTGTCTGGCCAACGAATACGAAGTATTTTGCGTAGACAGCTGTTAATAAACACTTGTATCTTCTGGATGACGGCTTTTGTAGTTCTTCATGTTTCCGCTCCATACAGTAGAACTGTCTTGACATTTGTATTGAATATCCTGATTTTGGTTTTGGTTGAAAGTCGTTTGGAGTTCCAGATATTTTTCAACCGTAGAAATGCAGCTCTTGTTTTGCCAATCCGTGCCCTCACATCTGCATCGGATCTACCTTGATTGTCAATGATGCTGCCAAGATATGTAAAGGTGTTAACGTCCTCCAAGGCATCTCCATCAAGAGTGATTCGACAGTCAGAACTCTGCCTAATGTCCTTCTAGGGTTACTGCCTGTTCAAAGACTGGATAAAGCAGGAGGATCGGGTATGAGGTTAGAGACTCCATCCCGTAGAAATCCAACTCGCTAAAAAGAACGCTAACCAGGAAAATAGCTGGCTGGTCGGTGGTCTATGCTCTGTTAAGGATAACCGGCTTAAGTAGGTAAGTTCGACAGCAGCCAGGTATTATAGCTAGCTCTCAAGCAAACAGTATAAATTAAAGCCAGAAACATGCATACGCGCCTATCTTATTATCAGTCAAGTTTTTATTTCTCCCGTAGTTGATGATTAACACTGACTTTTAGTCGATCTTTGTAAGGAAATGTACATTCTGTGCAGATTATCTATGTGGATACAGTAGCGTAGTGGATAACAATTTAAAGAATTTGAAAAGAAAGGCACACCAACTTCACATTATACTGTACACGTTGATACCAGGTAGTCTACATCTACCAACATGACTCAGTCCACTTGTCAGTGACTTCATGGATTTCTGCCATGTTTTGGTTTGGCCACCCGTAGCTTTCTTCCAACCTACTCATACACTACAAAACATAGTTCGTCGCGGCAGTCGAAGGTTAGCCATACGTAACACATGTCCAAACCACCTCAACTGATGAGGTTTCATTACTTCATCTATTGATTTGCCATCCCTACGTAGAACTCGTTTCCTAACGACAGGATTGCTTATACGGTTATCCCATGATACACGAGCAATGCTTCGGAGACATCGATGACAGTTCGCCATAAGCTCTCACTCGACCAGTGGTGTTCGAGTAGACAGCTTGTATAAGGTTAATGTACTTCTTTTGTAAACCTTTTAATGACAGACACTGACACAGAACCTCACGATCCACAGAGTCAAATGCCTCTTCTAGGTCCAGGAAGTGTCACCAAGCAAATAAAAACATATTAGAACTTAATTTCGAAATGAAAATAATCAATAATTCGAACAGGAACCATTGCTCAATAAGAAAAAAAACACATTACTAACAATAATAATAATATCGGCAAAGCGAGGGGTGCATTTCTACATTTGAAAAATATCTGGAACTCCAAACAACTTTCAAACAAAACCAAAATCAGGATTTTCAATACAAATGTCAAGACAGTTCTACTGTATGGAGCGGAAACTTGGAGAACTACGAAAGCCGTCGTCCAGAAGATACAAGTGTTTATTAACAGTTAGTTGTCTTCGCAAAATATTTCGTATTCGTTGGCCAGACACCATTAGCAACAACGTACTGTAGGAGAGAACAAACCAGATTCCAGTGAAGGAGGATGAAATCAGGAAGAAGCGGTGGAAGTGGATAGGACACACATTGCGGAAGGCACCTAACTGCGTCACGAGACAACCCCTCACATGGAACCCTCAATGTGAAAGGAAAAGAGGAAGACCAAGGAACACATTACGCCGAGAAATAGAGAAAGATATGACAGGAATGAACAAACATTAGACAGAACTGGAGAGGGAAGCCCAGGACAGAGTTGGTTGGAGAAAACTGGTGCGCGGTCTGTGCTCCTTTGGGAGTAACAGGCGTAAATAAGTAAGTAAGTAATAATAACAATAACAACACCAACAGGACTATTCACTTACCAAAGTGATTAAATTAAATCCAGCACATTGTAATAAATCAGCCATATCTACACTATCAACAAATGGACTAATATGTGATGAGATACCACCTAATCTTTCTAATTCAGCTAATTGTAACGATACACGTAACTCGTATAATGTATCCATAGCTGGCATTACACCTAATAAGCATCCATCGTTACGTAGACAAGATAATATCTGCGGAGGAAATTTGATTTGTCAAGAAATGAAAATACAAAAAAATATACGTTAGAAAGAAAAATTAAGAGGAGAGAGAAAATTTTAAGAATAGAATGATGAAACTAGCTTAATTGCTTGAATGTGTAGCGGTTCTTGCTATACTTCTGTTGAGTTTATGTCTTATTGTAGCCTGATCAGGTACATCGTGACCTTGTCAATTAATCACCTATGACCTTGAGTGTTTTTATTTGTGTGTGTACGTGTACATATATATGTCTGTTTGCTTCACTTACTTGTACTTAATACAATGTCACTATAACATGATAAATGTTTAGGACTATGATTGATGAGACAGCAATGTTGATATCTATGATTATCTAATGTCTTATTAAATGAATGCCTGAACCGAGTGAAAACAAAAATACGTTTCTTATTTAACTGTTAGTATTAAAATTGTGTTTACATGGCTAGAGACGTTGAACGACATGGCTCAAAATCGTTTGCAATGGTGCTCTCTCAAATCCTAATCTTCTGGAATCGTCAGCACATCTAACTTTGTCTTTCTAACCTTATCTCAATGAATTATACTTCTTGAATAATAATCTTCAAACCCTAGTCTTCTTCATTACTATTAATACCTCTACTGTCTTTATCACTATGGGATTTGATTTGACATTTGCGTCTATGTGCTAATGTGGTATGGCAACATGAACGTATGTACATACGTACGAAGTTCTACGTTGCAACTGACTTACTGACTGACTGACAAATCCTAATCTTCTGGGTTCTTCAATACCTCTAGTTTTGACTTTCTAAACTTATCTCAATGAATCATATTTCTTGAATATCTTCTCATCCTAACCTCTCCGATTACGTCTAATACATTTACTACCTCTTCTACTATTGGGTTTGAATTGACAATTATATCTCTGTGCTGATGTGGTATGGCAACATGAACTGATGTACTTACATACGAAGTTCTACGTTGCATCTGTCTGTCTGTCTGACATGGCTATATATATATATATATATATATATATATATATATATATATATATATATATATATATATATATATATATACCTCATTTCTTCGTATTCGAAGACCTTTGTTGATTATACTACTGAATAATATTCAGTAGTTCGTTTGATTTTTCGCTATTTCAAGGATGAAGCGTATTCTTTTTTTTGTAGTACCCATAAATATTTACGGAAATTTGTAATAGTTCGTAATTTTAATGTATGGACTCCTGAAATCATTGCTTTAAATCTCCGTGCATTCATTGAATCTTTGATTAGACGTAACAATTGCTAAAATGTTTGCTCTTAGTTACCGTTTTGATTGTTGAATCCTAGTTAATTTAAGTCATAGCTACGGCCTATCATTCATATTGTCATATAGCTTAAATAAATTATATATGATTATTTTAAAAGCATTTTCCCATATACATACTGGTGTATTAAATGCTCTTTTTAATTCATAAATTGAAGTTTGTAACCATTTAGCAGAGTTCTTTTTATAATAATAGTACCACTTTCTAGACTAAGTCTTTATCTTGAACTCTGGCTTTTCACATGTAGATCTGTTGCCAGATCATACGTTTCAGCAGAGTTAGTTGTTTCAGTTATAGTTATGGAGATTAGTGTTTTTACACACTGAAGTTACCAATCAATCATTGTTAGAGCACCATTAGAAACCTGGAAGTACTGGACGGCCGTTTGGTCCTGGTACGGGACTACTCATCAGCAGTACGCATCCACGACTCTAGTTGAAAGAATCATAAAATGTGCTCACGTCTGACTATCTTCGTGAGGAAGACGTGAACAGTGGAGTTCAACCCTTGTCGGGTGTAGGCAGTAACTACCAAAGACAAGTGGGTGAGGTCGTGCGAAATCTCTAGATTGATCAGAGTTCGACATTAACACCAATGGATACCTGCCCAGTGGTCCAGAGGTTAGGCATTCGAGCGGAAGACCGAATATCTTGGGTTCGAACCATGCGCACTGCTGATGAGTCCCATATCAGGACGAAACGGTTGTCCAGTGCTTCCAGGTTTCTAATAGTGGTCTAACAATGATTGATTGATGATTTCAATGTGTAAGAGTTAACTGCATGGAATTTTCTATTCAAGAATGTGTTTATTGCTCCTTGGTTTTCAGTGACACCGTAAATGAGATTCCTATTTGTGGTGAATACTATTTAGAAATTAAATTAGTCTCCACAAAACCTTTTTAAACAATCAATTAAGGTTACAAGCTAATTTTTTTTATAAAATAGAACTGAATGTAGTAAAAAACATTGAAGATTAAAACATAAAACTAAAATATGTATATCATATTAAAATATATTTACTTGTTTCAATAAACCAGGTAGATCATTTATCCAGTGTAGACTTTCAAATTTAAAATGAGATTTAAAAAAAACAAACGATAATATTGTTAGAAATTCATTAAGAGATAAATTAATCGATTAATTTAGTTACTATAATAAAAGTTTAAAATATAATGGAAATTGCACGACATAATAAGTTTATTTGTATGATGTACTTACTTACTTATTTACGCATGTTACCCCAAATCGAGCATAGGCCGCCCACCAGCAGCATTCTCCAACCAACTCTGTCCTGGGCTTCCCTCTCCAGTTCTGTCCAATGTTTGTTCATTCCTCTCATATCTTTCTCTATTTCTCGGCGTAATGTGTTCCTTGGCCTTCCTCTTTTCCTTTCGCCTTGAGGGTTCCATGTGAGGGCTTGTCTCGTGACGCAGTTAGGTGCTTTCCGCAATGTGTGTCCTATCCACTTCCACCGCTTCTTCCTAATTTCCTCCTCCACTGGAATCTGACTTGTTCTCTCCCACAGTAAGTTGTTGCTGATGGTGTCTGGCCAACGAATACGAAGTATTTTGTGTAGACAGCTGTTAATAAACACTTGTATCTTCTGGATGATGGCTTTGGTAGTTCTCCAATTTTCCGGTCCATACAGTAGAACTGTCTTGACATTTGTATTGAATATCCTGATTTTGGTTTTGATTGAAAGTTGTTCGGAGTTCCAGATATTTTTCAACTGTAGAAATGCAGCTCTTGCTTTGCCAATCCGTGCCCTCACATCTGCATCGGATCCACCTTGATTGTCAATGATGCTGCCAAGATATGTAAAGGTGGTAACGTTCTCCAAGGCATCTCCATCAAGAGTGATTTGGTTGGGGCATGTTGTGTTGCATCGGAGAATTTTGCTTTTTCCTTTATGTATGTTGAGACCTACTGCTGCAGAGGCTACTGCTACACTGGTCGTCTTCTCTTGCATTTGTTGTTGCGTGTGCGATAGAAGAGCCAGGACATCTGCGAAGTCCAGATCGTCCAGCTGCGTCCTAACTGTCCAGTTGATACCGTGCTTCTTTCCAGATGTTGACGTTTTCATAATCCAGTCGATCACCAGGAGAAAGAGAAAGGGTGAGAGTAAGCAACCTTGCATTTGTATGATGTACTGATAATAAATATTCGATTTCATTTGAAATGGTTTAGATCATTCTATAGTTGATATTGTGATTGAAATTTGATCGATCTTAGCATAATGGCATTTTGTGCGAATTGCCTCGGTATAGACATTACAGAAAAAAATAAGTACAATGGGATAGATAGGATGTGGTTAGTCACAAGTGGTTATTCAGACTTGGTAGCTAAGTGCATAGCGCGATGATATTTGAAGCAAACAATCCTAGGTTCGAGCCCTGGAGTGAACATCAACTCTGAGATACAGTTACATTCTGCTGACAAATTCCAAATAGGATGAAGACATTCGTTTTGGATTCCACTGTTAGCCACATTCTATGTGTGTGGTGTGTGCTACTTATACGAACGATATAAGTAGTATAAGAATGGACGTGAAAGAAGAAGTCTTACGGTCAGAAGAGGAAAACGGAAAGCAAATAGAGCAAAAGCAAGAAAGAAATAGAGCACCGACAGGAAGTAAAGGAAGCAACAGCAGGAATGGAAGAAGGCTGGAGCGTTGGAAGTCACGACTCAAAGATGGTGTGCAAATGGAGTGTTCAATGTAATGTTATCGTTTTTAATTGACTAAGAGTGTAAATTTGCCAAATACAATCTATTGAGCTTGCCTCAGTCTTCTCATGTGGTCTATGATAATAAAGAGTATAATGTATGAAATCGAATTTTACGGTATCCCAATTATTATTAATAATTAACCAATGTACCTAAACAGAATCCTTTATAATAAATAGACTGTATAGAGTGCTTATAATCGAGATATAATTGAGAAAGTTATGCTGTTATTAAATTTTCACAACGATTATGACTACTGAGATTTTGGGTTTTTTTAAAAAATATGGGGAAACGAATAGGGATTCGAACAGACCAGATATGTTATACAAAAACACATCAGTTTTAATAGAGACGAAATACATTTAAGATAATTTTATATTTCGTACAGAAGTCATCTAAGTCTTCCTTTAAAGAAAGAACTAACATGTAATAAGAAAGGACTCAATGACCTGATCCCTCTTTAGCAGTTATATTATGTGTTGATATCGGTTGAAGTGTAGTGGTGAGTCAGTGGTTAAGAGACTCGACTTTTAGTCACTAAATTACAAGTTTGGACCCAGCTTCAAGTACTTTGGTTTGAGTAACCAGATTATGTCACTAGCCTTTGTACTTAGAATGCAGTGATAAAGTGTAATCCCAGCGAGTGATGTACTATTGTGGTGTGTGCTACTTATACGAACGATATAAGTAGTATAAGAAAGGACGTTAAAGAAGTCTCACGGTCAGAAGAGGAAAACGGAAAGCAAATGGAGCAAAAGCAAGAAGTAAATGGAGTACAAACAGGAAGGGAAGGAAGCAACAACAGGAATGGAAGAAGGATGGAGTGTTGGAAGTCACGACTCAAATATGGTGTGCAAATAGAGTGTATTCAATGTAATGTTTTCGTTTTTAACTGACTCAGAGTGTAAATTTGAATAATACAAT